GATGACGTCACCCTTCCAGGACCTGGTGGAAGGTTCTGGAAGGGCGGAGCAAGCCCCGAGCCGGTATATAAGCCGGACCTCTGAACAATAGAGGGCAGTCTCCTCCACTCTGAAGACCGAAGACCCGGGCTGAAGCTAGGACCCTGCACCCCAAGCTCCGCCGTCCTTCTAAGGGCCGGAGCTCAATATCAGTGGTCAGGACACGACGACCCGGACACGGTCGGAGTCAGCGTTGCCTCCCCTAGAGCCCCAGCCGGAGGTCGGGGAATTAGCAGGGTCCTGTGTGTTAGGGCAGTGTAGGCCGGAGGCCGTACCTCGCCAGGCATCGGATAAAGGGTCCGCTACCCCTTTGTGTTAGGGACCCTGTAGAAAGAGTAATAAATATCGTGTTGCCTCAACTGGTGTCTCCCCTGGTTTCTGAACGACTACATAAGGGTAGAGGGGGCTAAACGGGTGCGACACGGGCTAGAGAAGAGATGGAGTGATGTGGTGCAAGAGGACGTGGAGCTGAGTGGACTTGCTGATGACCGGTACCAGCGGTGTCAAGATCGGCCTCTGTGGAGGAGGCTCGTGAAGGATGCTGCTGCTGCTACTGGGAAGTTGGAGGCAGTCGCTCTCCAGCAACAACGGAGGGCAGAGGAGCGACGTTCACAACAACGAGCTGAGCGCTGGGTGGCTAAAACACAGGAAGTCGGCACAGTAGGCGGTTTCGCTGGTGCATCCAGCGGTCATCTCGTGTGTGAGTGGGGTGAGCGAGCCACACTGCCACTTACACAAAGAACCCCCTATAGGCTCAACAGACTGTTGGGTCAAGTGCTGTTAGCGAGTAGCAGCACCTATGACGGCCGGAACGGCACACGAGGGGGTGGGTGGCTAACACCACGCCCGACCGCCTTTGTCTCCCCAGTGGCGATGTTCACTACACACCGCTACACCAGGTACTCAGTTGAGGCCCACGACCGGTTCAGATGATCGTCACCGGTGTTGGCCGTGAGCGCGAATCGAACTCGTGCCGTGCTAAAGGTATAACCTGCTTGGTGTTTGAACATCTTAACACAGCTCTTGTTTATTCCCAGAAAGGGTAAACACCGATGATTATTTTTCGTCATTTTCGAAACTGTCAACAAACATCTCATGGACAGCGCTCACAACGCATGGACACTGCGCGCACGCGGTCACGACCTCGCCCAGTGCTTCTTGACTGCAGCCTCGCACCCCTTTGTTTAACATCTCCTAGCCACCACGGATCGCCAAAGCCCTCTGCCCCTGGCTAGAGGGGCTGTGCAGAGCGCCCTCTACTGGAGGCCCTTCCGCCTGCAGTGGCAGTGAGCGAGCCGTTGCAGGGGCTGCACCTTCATCGTTTATCTTCGTCACATCGAGCGCCGTGTTTAATATTCTCAAGCGATCCTGACTGCTGATGAGACATTGAATGTCGAAACCGGTCCAGAATGATTTTTTTTCCTGGCTTTGGAACCACCAAGGGTGCTGCTGAAATTGTGCACTCACAGGAAGATTTTTGTGGCTGCATTTTACTTTAGTATTTTTGATGTGGAGGGGACAGACGAACGTGAAAGAGACGAACGTGAAAGAGACGAATCCGCTGGGTTTTTGGTCGGTGGATTTGTGCAGTGGCGTAGTTTGACCGCCAGGGGGCAGTGCAGTTGCCTGATGAGTTTCAGTGATTCATAATGCAGGCGGTTAGGGTTGGATCGCGTCAACATTAACGTGTCGTGAACTCGCCACTAGACGGCCAATAAGTAAGGTTTGTCACGTGAATAACAAACGTGCCAATCAGCGACTAGTTCAGCACATGGGTGTGATGGAGAGTAAGCCCACAACATTTACAATTAGAGTACGACGCTTCGCTTGTGATTACAACCACTTGTGGCAAATTGTCTGATGGAGAGGTCTGGAGGGGAATGGAGAGAGGTGGAGTGGGGTGGAGGGAGATGGAGAGGGGTGGAGGGGACTGGAGAGGGGTGGAGGGAGATCGAGAGGGGTGGAGGGGAATGGAGAGGCGTGGAGGGAGCTTGAGCCAGGGCCCTGCCCTTGAGATGAACGTTCACGTTTAGTGCCGTGCAAAACGAACCCCTCGCGAGTGTCCACCTGCCTGCTGCAGTGAAGCTTTCCAGCTGCAGACGTTTTGTGATAAGATGATTCATAGACAACACTCGGTA